GGCCCTCCAGGGCGGTCCAGTCAGGCCGATGGCCTAGTATGCATGTTATTGATTGTCTGTTACTGATATGGTATTATCAGTGTGGTAGTGGTATTTTTGGGGTAGCTCACTAAGATCTCGGGCTTACAGTTTTCAGTTTATTGTTTCAGGTACTTCAGGAGATCATGGCAAGGCGAAGGCGTGACCGTAAAGCTCCTCATCCTTCCGATCTAGTTATTGGGACACTCTGATGAATAATGATGTCACAACTAGAAATTCTATGCCTTGTAATCACTATACTCAAATAAATGTTGAAATCAAAAAAAAAAACTCAAAAACAAGTATGATGCTTACTCAATGGGAAACTAAACCCCAATTCACTACATCAAACAATTGGAAAACCCTAGAAGTTCTTGTTAAGTCCATTTTGGACTAGAACTTCCTTATTGGATCCAAATGGACCAATAAGCTTCCAATTGGACTATCATGGGCTTAGAACCCTAATTGGGATCTAATTGGACCCACATCTATTTATTTCAACATTTTGAGCCATGTTGGACCTAGAATGAAATAAATACAAAATTTTGAACCATGATTAACCTAAACTAGCCCAACAAAGTGTAAAAATCATACTATATTTCTTTTGGGACTAAAAACCATCCAACTTAACATCTACATGGGTTAGGACATTAAAGCCCAATTTTTTTTCCTTTCCATTTACAATTCTCGGCCCAAAAGCCCAAAACCAAGAAGGAAGAGTGACTTAAGCCTTGCTACCTCACTTATATCCCACATATCTCCATGCATGGACCAACATGCAACTAGGATTGTCAACTCAACTCTCTCTCTTCTCTTCTTCTTGAACTCAGCCGAGAGCAACATCCACACACACACAAAACACTCACAAACTCTCTCTAAATCACTCAAGGCTCTTTCTTCTTCTCCATCCAAAATCTCGAAATTTAGGAAGCATTCAAGGAAGTTCTTCCACAAAATCATCATCTAAGGTAAGGTTTTGCTTGGATCTATGACTTGTATTCCTTGTTTATCAAAAATCTCTTCCTAATCCATGCAAAAATCGTGATCTTGCACTCTAGAAACCCCATAAACTCGAAAACTTCATCAAGGAGTGCAAAGGCCAAAAATCACTTCATTTCTTCCATTCTTTCTTCAAAAACCGAATCAACACCCAAGGTGAGTTTCATACCCCCTTATTTTCGGTTTTTATAAGTTTTTGTGGGGGAGAATACAAGCAAAAGTGTAGATCCATCATTATGTGTATGTTGTGGTTGATTTCTATGCTTATATGTATGTTTTGTATGATTTTGATGATAGATCTAGTATGAAATGCTAAAAACCGAGACATATATTTTATTATAGCATAAAATATACTACTACATGCAAAGTATACTAAGAAAATGGCCAAATGGCTTGACAACACTTAACTTGGGCTAAAAACTCATTTTTTTGACATAAAATGTTGAAAATACAAAGTTAAAGGGCCTAAAGTGAAATATTTCGAAATCTGATGGGTGAGATGAGTCAAAACAGTTTACACAATGTATTTTCTGAAAATATACTATTTAGAGGGTTAAAAACATAAATTCCAAGCTTATTGGGCTAAATATGACATTTTCGGCCCAATGAGGCCCAATATGCGAAATTTTCTAATTTGGGGGACCAAAACTGCATTTTTCTGTAAAACAGTGGACTATAAGTGTTCCGTGTACTTTTCAAAGGTTTAAAATGCTTTTCAAATTTAAAAGGGACCAAAGTTGTAAAATTTTTCCAAATTGGGTCAAAAATGTAAAAGTTGCGAAAAAGAGGGGCTATAACCGAGAAAACTGAAATTTCAAGGACTTAAACTGTTTTCTATGATAAATATGCTGGAAAATACTTATTTCAATAATTTTTGGTATAAAAATGTCAAGAAAATTGATTTAAGGACCAAACCGGAAAGTTTTTAAATAAAGGGGTGAAAAGGGTAAATTTACAATTAAGGAGGGGCTGAAAACAGAAAATCTTCAAGGCTAGTTAATACATGCAATTTGACCAATTGATGGTACCACGCTTGTCGACGAAATACAATACACTACAATACCAAAAGTCGTTGTTAAACGAATTGGTTCGGTCTCGAACCAATAAAAATCCAAAACCACTAACACGACGACGTTACGACATTTCGATTCATAACTAATAACGATGGAGAATTCACTATACATGCGAGTGTGCGCAGACGTCTATGCACCATCTTTGGGCCCCAAAAGTGTAAAATCTTGTTCGTTGAGCCTAGCTAGCCCAATGACCTGATCTTAAGGCCCGAAGATCTCTCTCTCTTACGAAGTGTTGGGTTTTACCGATCCGACATAACGTAACAGGACTTTCAATGGCAAACGTGCTGCTGGTCCCCAAGGGTCCTTCAGTGCTGCTAGTAAAGTCGGTAACTCACGATTGCGGGTTGGGCTTCGGGCCCTTCGCAATTGCATTAGTCTTGAACGACGCGGGGAAATACCGAGGGTTTCGCACCTTCTCTCCTTCCCTCCGGTCGTGGGACTACACAAGTCCGGGAGGATCGAGTTGTGTGAAGAATTACGAGTGGCACCTAAGGGATCGCTTGTAAGGTTGTCGATTGGACGTTTTCATTAACGTACGTCACAACACTTCACCACCCATTGTATTCTCAATGCCTCCGGAGCTCAACGATTCCCTCTAACGAAACGAAACAACGGTATACAAACTAAGTAATACAAAGTGATAGGAAAACGTCGGGTTTTCCTAGGGTTTTCAACAATTACAAATTATGAATTACCGGTCGAATTTTCACAACTCTTACGCTTACATCTATAGAATTCAAACATGCATACTCATGGATCAACACATATTTTTACACTATTCTATTTTTAGAAAATATCGGATTTTCTGATGGGTTTCAAACATTACATTGGATTTCAAACACTACTTATGAACTCACCAACATTTCGTATGTTGACGTTTTTCAAAATACTTGTATTCTCAGGTAACAGATAAGGTGACGGATGATTTATACTCTATGATGTTTGCTGTGGTTTAAGTGATGTTGAACAGTTATTTTGAGAATGTAACGTTTGAACAATGTAACGAATGTAAACACTATCGGTTGTAGTATTCCAAATGTTGGTGATGTTTTATGTTATGCTTCATGTATATGCATTGTGATGGTATTCAATGAGTCACAATAGCCCTCGGACGTTTCCGCCGTCTGGTTCGGGGGTGTGACAAATGATTTGAAAACATTTTGTAAACAAATATTATTTGGTTTTATTTATGATCGAAAAAGTTTAAATTTGGCGTAAAATTTTTGGATGTGACAGTTGCGTAATCCAAGATTATGCATGGCATAATCTACTTAACAGATTTCATACTTCACAAAATTTCTCATTTTATCCTTATAACCATTATCATAAAATCCAACTTGCTTAAATAAATTAATTATTGTAATTAGTTTGAAAATTTCTAAGTATGGTTTTAACATATAACAAGGTATTACTCTACTTAGTGATTAACATTTTATATCTTTTGCCACTTTTGACAAAATATTCCTTTTGCATTAAAATTCAATACAACATTTTTCATTCAAATTTTAAGGGATGCTACAATTACTCGCTTACAATACTCATAGTTCACGCTAATGAAAAGGAACCGAAGGCGGAAGACCAACAAATCGTCGCAGTAGCCATCATAGTTTCCACCTTCCTCAACACATGTTTCAATGGTCTCAATGCTTTATTTGGCTACTCTCAAGTTTCTTTTACAATTCATCGATTTTGATTGTAAGAGTGATTAGGTAATGAAATTTAAAGGAGGTGGTGATTTTAACCAAAAAAAGGTCAAAACATTGCATGATTTCAAAATCTATCATTGAAAATCACACTGGGAAAAGTATTGATCAAATTTGATAAGGACAGATTAAAGTTTCAAATTGAAGCCAATTATATTTATAAGATGTTGATGAAATTATGTCATATTCATCGAAAAATTGTCTACATGGCAAACAACACATTTGGGTTGGATTCAATTGTTATTTGATTTGGTTTGGAGATGTATGTGCCTTGTAGGTGTCTCACTCCATATCTTGGATTGTGCACATCTCCAAACCAAATCAAATAACAATTTAGATTGTTCTCATAATGCAAACGTTTTTTCTTGGAGTGATCCTCATAAAGTTGCTGTTGGATTAAAGGATCCTGGAGGGCTAATCCATGCATTTCATAAACACCATTTCACAAAGCAAAACCATAAAAACTCATTAAAAAAAAAACAAAGTAGGATCAAATATGTGAATTTGGGCAAATCATAGGACCAAATGTGTATTTACCATAGTTGTTAAAATCGCGATCCTGATCGTAGGATCGTAGGATCGTACGATCCTAGGTATGAAAAACGATCCGGATCGTAAAAGGATCGTATTTGGGGTAGGATCGCAGGTAAGATCGTAAGATCGTAGGTAGGATTGTAGGATCGAGATCCGATCCGATCCTACCTTCCTTTGATTTTTTTTTTTTTTTTTTTTTGCAAATGAAATTTTTTTACCACTTTATGCCTTTTATCCTTTACCAATCTACCATTTATCATTTTTTACTGTGACTTATGACTAATATTTTGAAGTTTTTATAACTTTTGAATGAAAAACTAAATGTTTGAAATACTTTTCATGATTAAATATTATAAATTAAAATTATATTCTATTTTGTGGGATCTTAGGATCTCGATCCCGATCTTACGATCCCGATCTTGCAAACCCAAAATCGATCCTAGGTAGGATCCCGATCTTGACAACCTTGGTATTCTTTCTCGTAATGTCTTTTTTTCTTCTTTATTATTATTATTATATTATATTTTTCAATTTGTCTTTGGACACATCATCTTGCGTTACTTCTTCCTCAATTTCCTGGATCGATCATCGTTTACCTCGAGAAGAAAACCCTCTTCATCATTAATCATTCATCAATCAATCAATCAATCGGCAACCACCGGCAACCACCATGCAACAAGGCGATTACACCTCCACCACTCCGTATTATCACAATTACCCTCAAAACCCAAACCCTAATCCCATCACCACCGATCTCCACCATCCTCCGGTAACTTACGCCTCCGCACCTCCCTTCACCAACACCACTACTTACCATCCTCCAACCTCCGATTACTATCCTCCTTACCCTCAACAGAATCCCGATCCTCTCCCTCCTACTGCCCCGTCTTACGCTCCTCCCCCTCCAAACCCTAATCCACAACCCTCAAGTTTCCCCCAATTCGAAGCGTCGCATACTCCGTATCAATCTCAACAGCCTTATAATCCACCTTATGATCATCATCAGACGCCTCCCACTTACCCATCTCCACCGGCGTCTTCGATTCCTCACAATCCTATTCCTCTGAACCACAGTTCAAGCTTTCAGTACTCCTCGTCTCTGTATAATAATCCACCGTCGGTTCCTAGTCAGGTCCCGGGTCCCGTATACGAGAGTCCGTTTGAGACTGGTTATGGTGGTAATTACGGTAGGAGCTCATCGGATCTAGGGGCCGGGGGTGGGAGTGTTGATTATTATGGGAAGCGACCGGATGTGGGGATGTCTAGGTTTGAATCAAGCGGTGGGTATGGAGGTGATGGGTATGGTGAAGGTGTTTATGCTTATCAAGGTGGTAAGGTCGAGCCCTATGGTTCTAGGGGTACTGCGCCAAAGTCTTCTACGTGGAAAGAACAGGTGATTTTTGATGATTTTGGGCGTCCGATTGGTTTACCTGGTAAGGACTCACCATCCATATCGTCTCCCAAGATTGTGAAGGCTGTACCAAAGGCTGAGACACGGGAAGATGTTAAGGGTGGGGTACAGAAGTTCAGGGTAAAATTGCTGGCTGAAAGTGGTGGCCAGAGCACCATGGATGTTCTTTGCCAGGTATGGTGGAGCTACCTTTTCTACTATTTTGCTGATTAATTTTTGTGCTGGATAGTATTTATGTTTGCCTTTGATGGTTTTTTTGTAGAGAAGTTTTATGCATTATGTCATTTTACTATGTATTATTATGCTAGATTGTTAGTCCTCATCTACATTCAATATGTTTATCTGTCTTTTGCTGTTGATTGATTCAGAATTGATCTACATTTTGGCATGCTGTTTGGATAATCATTAAATTTTCTTTCTTTAGAGCTCTATAGAGTAGCTGATTACAGTAGCAAGTCCAATCCATAAATGAAAATAATAGGGGTCCAAAAAAAACGTATTAGAACTGTTAATATAGTCACTAATTTTGATCTTAAATGATAAGTTTATAACCAAACACCAGATTCTTGTCATAACATGCATTGATTCTTGTATGTTATATAGTACATTAGTACATGATTCTTTTACCTTCTTTCCTTATCTATTTCATGGTGATTCTCAATCCCTTATTTCTTTTTTCACAGATTGGATTGGATGGAATCCGAATGCTTGATCCATCAACAAGTCGAACTTTAAGAATATATCCACTTGATACTGTAACAAGATGTGAAGTATGTTCTTTCCTCATTCTTTTCCTTTCCTTTTTATGGTTGTAACTTTTTTATTCTGTTACAATAAAACTTTTTTTTTTTCTTTATGTGTGTTTTGTAGGTGTATGACTCATCCACCTTTGCATTTTGGTCAAAGAGTTCTGTAGACATTGAGCCAAGGCGTATAAGGCTTCAATCCAATAGTTACACTACAAACACATTATTGGACACTGTTACAGCAGCAACCATTCAGGTTTAATCTTACAAACTAAAAAAAAAATAATTTTTTCTATTATCTTTCAACCTTTTTCATAAAACCCTTCTGCATACGTGAGAAATATTATCTGTTTTTCACAATTGTAGAGAGTAGAGACTCTTGTTCTTTCTTGAAATTCTTGCTTTATGTTATAGAGTTGAGTGCTTGTGTTCTTGAATGCAGTTTTTTTTTTTTTTTATTTAAAAATTGCAGGTTAAGGAGATGGGTGGAAGGAGTAGGCCTGCTGATGCTGTTAAAGTGAATGATCAGTCATCTGAAAAGAAAAAGGGTTTGGGTGATTGGATGAATATAATTAAACCCCCAAATGAGGAGAAAGATCATTGGGTAAGCATTTTTTTATTATAAATCTGTAGTAACTTTTATTATTTTTGTGTATTATAATTTATACAACATGCTACTTTCATATTTGTCTCTTGCTACATTGTACTTTCTATTATTTTTATCTTATCAAGGCATTGTAGTATGAAAAATCTACATAAGTATAGTATTCTACTTTCACTTTTTTATTTTTTTTATTTTTTTCTTGTTAGGATATCAAACTATGTTTTATCTACCCAATTATAGCATTTTACTTGGTGTTAATATCAAAAAAGATCCTATATTTTGTGTTTTTTCCGGATTAAACCTCAAATTTCTTTTTTGCCTGAAAAAAACCTTATATTCTTTTCCTAAAAAACCCCTCAACTTTGTATTTTTTTTTTTTTTTTTTCTGAAAAACACTTTCAACCTACTAAATGCTTTCAAATAAACCCTCAACTATTTTGTTTTTTCTCGAAAAAACCCTCACATTTTACAATTTTTTTGGAAAAAATGACTAAAAGGGCCAGATCGGAAAAAATAAAAAAATACAAGGTCTTTTTCAAGCAAAAAATAATTTTGAGGTTTAATCTGGAAAAAACACAAAACATAAGGTCTTATTTGAGATTAACCCTTTTACTTACATTGTTTTTCTTTTTAGGATATTATATATTGAAAAATCTGCCCAATTATGGAAGTGAAAATTGCTTTATATTTTAGTGTGACATTGTGATAATAGAAATGAATGAAAGTAATAATGATATAACAAATCAATGAAACTACTTTGCTATTTTTATTTATTTATTTATTGCATTGTATTTTACATATTTTTTGTATTCTATGAAAAAATTATCCAATTACAGCAATGAAAATTCCTTTTCTGTTAAATGAAACTACATTGTTATTTCTTACATTCAACCCTTTTTCAAAGGGAAACTGTCAGAAAAGTCCCAATATTTTCGGAAAAGTTACACTTCAGTACCAAGTTTTTTATTTTGAACATAAAAGTCCCGATTATTTGTAAAGACACGATAATATGTCATTTCCTGTTAAAAGAAAAAAATGACTTTTTTGTTAATTTGAGCCAAAGTGATTTATCTAGACTTTTATGTTCAAAAAAAAAAGACTTGGGACTAAAGTGTAACTTTTCCAAAAATATTGGGACTTTCCTGACAATTTCCTTTTTTCAAATTAACATTTCTTGAACTTGCCGTGTCGTTTTTTTTTTCTTTGTGTCACATGATAGAAATAGTATTGAAAATATAAAAGATTGAAAAATATTATTATTTAAGATAAATAATGAACATAAAAAAACTTTTGTAGGTACCTGATGAAGCTGTTACAAAGTGTACTGGTTGTGGAACAGACTTTAGTGCTTTTAATAGGAAGGTTAGTGGAATCCTTTTCCATCATTTTATTTTTTAAATATATATTTTAATTTTAATTTAAAATTTACTTGATTTTTATAGCATCATTGCCGAAACTGTGGAGATATATTTTGTGACAAATGTACCCATGGAAGAGTTGCTCTTACATCAGAAGAAAATGCCCCTCAAGTTCGTGTTTGTGATCGTTGCATGGTATGTATGCATTTTGTCTTTTATAAATAAATTCTGATAATTACTTTTTGGAAATTTATAATTTTTTATTTTTAGTTGGAGGTTACTCACCGTTTGAGCAGTGCAAAAGAATCTGCTGCAAGCCGATCATCTGGATTGCATAGTCATGAAGATCTTGCAAAGAAACTTCAGGTGAATTAATTTTATTATTTTTTAAATATCTTTATTTATTAATAACTCTTATAGTTCTTGATTTTGTTAAATTAAAATTATAAGTTATACGGTAATAATCTAAACATTCATATTTTGACTAATGTAATTTATTTTGTATTAACAATAATAGATTTTTTTTTTTTTTTTTTTTTTTAAATTTTACATTGTAATGTTGATACCATATATATTTTTGAAAAATGTTTGTTTTAATAATTAAATGGGTTTGTTCAAAAAAATAAAAAAACATGAAGATCTAACAATTTAGAAAATTTAAATTTATAAGAAAAAGAGTAAATATTTAACTATTAAAATTGAAGTGCTTATTTATCTTTTAAATTTAAACTAATAATTTACATAAAAAAACAACAAAAATAATTAGATTCAGGTTAGAAATTTAGAAATTATAAGGAAAGTTGCATTAATGAATTGGATATACATTTATTTAGGTATTATATGAAATTTAATAAAATGGAAAAAACCACAAAATGACACATGGATATCATTTAATCTAAATTTACCACAAAATGACATGTGGCGGAATGCATAAGAGGATGATAAGTGGCAAAATTATTTTAATTTATTAGGGAAAATTCAATCAATGGTAGTATGTGAATAAGTTTTATTATAATTTGGATTTTTAGTTTGTTGATATTCATGAAACAAAAGTACTAAAATTCAATATCCGAACACTTCATCATATGATTTTAGGCTTTTTTTTTTTTTGATAAATATATATATAATAAATTTTTACAATTTCATACAGGAGGAGTTGGAAAGAAATCACAAATCATCATCAGGTATATATTATTATGATCCAGTAGCATCTCTATAATAAATCATGTTCTTTCTTTCCAAAAAATATCGTCTTTTTACATATGTTTTCGTGTCAACAGTTTCCAAGTTTGAAGGGTCAAACAGGCGGATGAAAGAAGTTGCATGTCCCACCTGTACAGTCCATTTACAGGTTAAAAAAAAATATCCATTTATTTATTTTCTTTTTCTGGTTAAAAATTTATATGAATATTTTATATTAAAAAATGGTAAAAAATAATATAAAACAGGTTCAAGTTCCTAGCTCAGGATCCGAGACCATAGAATGTGGAGTTTGCCAGCATCCGTTTCTTGTAAGTGCACGTTGACATGGTCAAAAGGATATGGGGGATTGTTCATTTTATTTTTATTTTTATTTTTATTTTTTATGGGGTTTAATCTGATAATTCATTGTGACTAGTAAGTATTATATTAAGGTTTTAAGTAACTTGGATTTGTTTGGGTTTGTGGGGTTTGGTTTCTCGAAGTATAATTCTAACTTTTGTTTGTAAATTTGTTCTATGAAATAAGTGTTTTGTGTTTGTGTAAAAACGGTAGATTGGGCTTCTGTGTTTGAGTTGAATATCGTGTGATGGGAATTATTCAACAAATTAAATTAAATAGAAAAAAAAATATTAAATAGTTAAAAAGAAAACTCGTCAAGTAAGTGGGGTGATGGACAGTGTGTTGTGGCGCAGATTAATGATATTAATCCTATACTTTGAATTAAATAAATCAATAAAAATATTGTTTTGTATATTAGTTGTGTAATTTATATATGGGATAATGATTTAAAAGGATAATATATATTTTGATTGGTATTTATTTGGTATTTTTTTCTTCATATTTATCATTTTAATTTTTTAACTGTACACGTTTAGTTTTTCTGATTGGAAAAAATGATTTTAATAAGGTGATATAATTATCATTTTGTTTACATTTAATCTTTAATATATATATTTTTTGTATATTTGGTCCTTAATATTTTCTTATTGCAAAATAAGTCTTTATTTATGTATATATTCAATATTTATAATTGATTGCTTGAAGTTTTTTGAGACAATTGTTAGTAAGGTGTTCAAGGGGTTGATACTTCTAAACATTGAAACTTCTTCGTATGATATTGGATTTTAATGATCTTTATATTCACATGTTCTTATTTATCTATTACAGTTTTCGTTTAAATTACTCTTGTTAAAATAGTAATATATTTTTACTTAGTAATCTGTACGAAAGTTGTGGTAGATTAAAATACGGACGCATGATGGATATAATTATCGTTAAAATCCGAGATCATATGAAAAAGTTACAACTTTCAGAACACAAAACCTGAACAACTAAGCATCTGAGGACACAGTGATTATAAACATCAACAATCCCAAAGAAATCATTAATAATTGTCCAATATAGGAAAACTTAAAGAAACTAATAATAAGGATTGAATATGTACAAAAACAACAAAGACTAAATATGAAAAAAAATTTGTAAGACTAAATGTGAAAAAAAAAATATAAGGATTGAATATGTATAAAGTGAGAAATATATTATCTTATTAAATTATTTTTTCTAGTTTATATAAGGACTGAATGCAGTTAAACAAAGGACAAATGTAGCCGAAAAAAACTCCGTATCCAAACATGTACAGATCGAAAAATATATTATCTTTCTAAGGTGCTGTTTGTTTTTCTGAAGTCAAAATGTCTGCAGTCTGCGGACCACATCTGCAAGCCTCTGCAGCAGAAGAGATGGACCAAACGTCTTCAGTCTGCAATAAGAAGACTGTTTGTTTTTTAACGTCTGCAGACTGCTGAAATAAACAGAACTTTAAATAAAATGATTTTTCAACACCAAAATTTTAATAATAATAATTATACAACACTGAAAATAAAATTTATGCAACTAAATTAGTTTTACGATAAAAAAGTTTGGTTTTACAATAACAATAACATTTAAAACAATTCAATATATATTGTGCATCAACGACCACATTATTATTTTGAAACGAGACATTGGGTTCATCGTATCGTGCGAAATGCTCATCACCGAGTCCTTTTTTCCTTATAAAATTATGAACTGCGAAAATTAGTAATATATTAGACAATTCTTATTAGAATAGAAATTATTAATATACAAAAATTATTAATGACTTATATAATTTATATTAGAATCGAAATGCATTGCTTTTATAAAAACTTTAATATGACTCAGTTTTTTGGTCTCAATAGGCATATCATTTTTTTTTTAAAAAAAAATTTGGTCGCAATCATAAAAGTAGAAATATAGTTTTTATGTTATATTTTTTTCTTTTAATATTATTGAGAAAAAATTAATAAACAGATATATACATTAATAATTAAATAAGCATAAAAAAAAGTTATAATCACTTATAAGCAAGAAATCTAAAAGGTGTTTTCTTTCAACATAATAGATGTGGGAGGCGGCGAAAGAAAAAAAAAAGTATTTTTTTTAAGTTTTAGTTTAGGTTTATTGAACTTGTGAAGACGTTAGAAGATATTGGTCCATGTCTGCGCCAAGAAGACCTCGCGCAGACGTTTTTAAATCTACGCACTTTCAAAAAACAAATAGTCTGCGAGAGCATATGTCTGCGCGTGGTCTGCACGGCGCAGACAGAAGTGATCACGCAGATTTGCAGACAAAAAACAAACAGCACCTAAGTCATTATCCTTTTATATATTTACATATTTGAGGTATAGACAAAAGTGGTATAGTTGTTGATTTACCAAAAAAGTAGTGGTATAATTGTCGATTTAGGAAAAAACAAAGGGAAAATGACTTATATGGGTAATTATGTTTCAAAATCGTTCAAAAATACCATTCAAGTTTGATGTGTCCAAAAAACACCATCCAAGTAAAACATTTGTACAAAAAACACCAACGAAGAATATTCTTTGTTCAAATTTGACCTTTGGTAACCGGCAATTACCAGTAAAAAATAAGTAAAGGAAGAAAACAATAGAAAAAATGACTCAAACAGATAACTATGTTTCAAAATCGTTCAAAAAACACCATCCAAGTTTGGTATGTTCAAAGAACAACATCCAAGTAAACTTTTTGTACAAAAAACACCAACAAACTATATGTTTTGTTCAAATATTATCCACCGGTAATTGGTTCTTACAGGTTAAATTATAACTTGGCTTAACTATTATGACATGACATAATAATGATTGAAAAACAATAAATGATATATTTCTTCTTTAAAAACCGATTTAGGGTTTCTTCATGAACGAATGACTTCTTCTTCTCCTATGATTGCTGTTCTTCTTCTAAAGTGATGATCTCGAACTCAAGTCCAAAACCCTAACTCTTAACTTAAGGCAAAAATGGCTCCTTTACCCCTGCCTCAATGGGCCTCCCTCCCCTTAAGGCCCAAATCCATAAAAAGCCCCAAAAGGCATCCAAACCCAACTACAAGGAATCTAAGGCATAATATGGCCCAAGAACCCCTAACATGGCCTTAAGCCCCAAAAATGACCTTCTATAATTAGGTGGGCCTGAGGCCTAACTTAAACAAGTCTGTACATAGTCCCATCATATGTTGAAGCCTTTGCGATCTGGATGTTGAGCCATTACACTCGACGTACTCCTAGTGTACGCCCAACGTACTCGGCTAGGGTCAAGAACCGACAATCTTCCGAAGGCCATAACTTCTTCATTTAAGTGTGATTTCATCATTCTTTATATCTACGGGAGCTAATTTAGGCATTAGACAGCCATATCGAGGGTTATGAACTTTAGATTGCAATTCTTAGTGTTACCTTAATGCTAAGTTAGATTTCGTCATTCCAAGGTCCAACCGAGGGTTATGGCCTTCGGAAACGAAATCACAATCTAATTTGGGGTATTTATAAGCTTCTCATTGTTAGAAGAGTTTATAGTCTTGACCGGTCCTTTATTTATTATCCAGTCTACACACAAGCACATCTCTTGTCTTTTCATTGTTATTTTATTGTTTCGTACCATTACTTTTGCATGTTTCCTAGGATATGGTTCCGATACTTGTGTACGATGTATTCGAATTTATATTCGTTCGTAACAAGTCGTGGTGTCTGTAACACCCATTTGGTGATGGATAATGGAGGTTGTAGGGACCGAGTGTTCGGTTTGTGTTTGAGCCTAAGGGCATATCAGTAAGTATTAGTTCGAGCCTTTATGAATGGGTTTATGTTAGAAAAGTTTTATGGCAAGGGAGAGTTGATAGTATTGTAGACCTTCTCGTTTCCTTCACGTGGATATAAAGAACGGAATTGGACTTAGAATGAAGAAGTTATGGCCTTCGGAAGATTGGCGGTTCTTGAGCCTAGCCGAGTACGATGGGCGTACGTAGGAGTACGCCGGGCATGCTTACATAAAATCCAGATCGCAGAGGCTTCAGCATATGCTGGGCGTATGAATGAACTTTTTTAAATTAGGCATCCAACCCACCTGATTGTAGCAGGTCATTTTTTGGGCTTAAGGCCATGTTGGGGGTTCTTGGGCCATATTAGGCCTTATATGCCTTGTAGTTGGCTTGGATGCCTTTTTGGGCTTTTTATGGATTTGGACCTTAGGGAGAGGGAGGCCCATTGAGGCAGGGGTTAGGGAGCCCTTTTTGCCTTAAGTTAAGAGTTAGGGTTTTGGACTTTAGTTCAAGATCATCACTTTAGAAGAAGAAGAGCAATCATAAGAGAAGAATAAGTCATTCGTTCATGAAAAACCCTAAATCGGTTTTTAAAGGAGAAATATATCATTTATTGTTTTGTCAATCATTATTATGCCATGTCATAATAGTTAAGCCAAGTTATCATTTAACCTGTAAGAACCAGTTACCGGTGGATAATATTTGAATAAAACATATAGTTTGTTGGTGTTTTTTGTACAAAAAGTTTACTTGAATGATGTTTTTGAACATACCAAACTTGGATGATATTTTTTGAACGACTTTGAAACATAGTTAACTCTTTGAGTCATTTCCTATTGTTTTTTTCCTTTACTTATTTTTACCGGTAATTACCGGTTACAAAAGGTCAAATTTGAACAAAGAATGTACTTCGTTGGTGTTTTTTGTACAAATGTTTTACTTGGATGATGTTTTTTGGATACATCAAACTTGAATGGTATTTTTTGAACGATTTTGAAACATAGTTACCCATATGTCATTTTCCCAAAAACACAAGTAGGGTAAAATTGTTAATTTAAAATATTTATGAGAAGAGGCTTGATGTTACGTAATAGCTTCAGGCACTAAGGGTGTAATTTTTGCCAACTGTGTGACTATCAATGTAAAAATTTCAAAGGTTGGACCTAAAATATAAACCGTGCAAAATACTAAGACCAAAACTATAATTTAACCATATAAAAATTTCAAAACTTGAACTTAAAGTTATCAAAATTGTAGTTAACATAAAAAAACTACACCAACCGAAAGTGATTCCTAAAAAGAGTAAATTAGAGTTTAGCTTTTTATGGTTTACACACTTATATAGTTTATTTTAACTTTTTATTTTTAATTTTTAACATGGCTCGTCGATATAGTTTCTAAAATTTACATGGTTGTTTTGCCCTTTAACACTCTTAGAATTTTATGTTAAATTTAAGGTAAAAGACATTTGCCCATTAACAGAAAATAATTAAACCTACCGTTTCAGAGACTATTTATGAAAGTTGTATGG